AAAAGGGTGGCTATTTTGAAGAATCTAAAATATAAAACATGTTTAGAGTTATTTCACATTTTTTTCTTTACTACATAATTCTATGTGTTCATTCATAGTTTTGATGCCTTCAGTGAGAATCTACAAGGTAAACAGAAAAACCATTAAAGGAGGTGTGCCCAAACTTTTGACTGGTAGTGTAGCTATAGTCACTCTGAGCACAGTGTTTCTAAACAGCTGAATTCAGCTGAACCAATGTCTTTCTATCTTGGCTAAATCTAAAGTAAATCTTAAGCAGCCTGTGGAAAAGTGAATTTGACCTTTTAGCCTTTAAAGTAAGTCTCAACTGTAATGAAAAGGGGAACACTGGATTTATTACACAATGTAACTGAACATAAAATCCAATTAACTGCACAGCTCTATATGTCCATTAGGTTACTCCTTCTGCACGGCCATTTCTACCTTTAAATGCTGAAATTTTGCTTTTTCAAAACTATCTCAAAGTTTTCCTGATGGGGTTCATAAGCAACAGGTGGTCCCAGTCCTGATCCTGTGGTTACTGAACTTGATATTCTTTAAAATTTGGGGTTTTCAGCACCACCTTCCACCTTTTCATTACAGCAACCATTTACCTTCCTAATTTTTCCCTGCATAAACTGCTCAGTCATGAGCTGAGGCTTAAACATCTGTGGATGTGCGACATCTGTGAATATTGTGAAGGGCAGTCTTGTCAGAACAGGACAGATGAGTGAACATGGTTCTCCGTTCTTCAGTCTGATTATACTGTAGGCAGGCCTGGCCAACTGACAGGCAAAGTTAGAAGTCCATGTTAAAACAACAGGACACCTTCACCTTCTCCTACTCCACTTTAGCTTGTCTTCACATTGAGAAATTCTCCCAATTATGGAGGTTGTATCTCCCATTGTTCCCAAAAGATGTTATTTCACTCTAACAGCAGCTGTTAAAGGTGTAGGCTAATTGAGCTAAATGGAGAATGTGACCACTGGGCCCCACGAGGACCCTTTATTCTGGGCCACCTCTGTAAGGTGGGCCAGGAAAGGACAGCTACCATCCACTCTCAATTTCCCTGAGCCCACAATTATGTCATCCTGCACTAAGGACACTGTAATGTCCTTTACTCCGATGCAAAATGAAGTGAACACCAGTGTCTATTTAGCTTTAGAGATGCTTTGTGTAAGACATAAAATAGAGTTTCCTAAATACTGCATTCACCCATTCGGATGTCAGCAAATAAATGGCATTGTTGTTGTGAATAATAGACGATTGATTAAGCCGATGATCCTATTTATGTCTCCATTTAGACCAGTTGTGCTTCATCAAGGGCCCCATAGTGTGAAATAATGGCGTATGTCATTATTTCCCATGCTGGAAATAATGACATACGCCAAAAGAGCGCTAATCCTTCTCAATACAAGCTCCACTAGAAATTAGGCATTCTGTCCCTGCTGTGTGGTTTCAGTTGCTTAAAGGATGGGATCAGCATATCTTGACAGCCAAACACTTTGAATCACACTCAGGGGAAGGAGCTGTTTAGAAGTCAAAGGGGAAAAAGTACAGGCTGAAACTAAAAGAAAGCACCATGTCGTCCCAACAAATGGTACATGGTGTTTTGCTTGTTAAACAGTAATGTTAAAACTCACTCAGGTAAATTGGCAAGCTGGTCAAAAGTCAATTCATCTACAAAGCACATCATTTTCTCTCAACAGTAATGTGTATTGAGCTATGAGGACAGCCTCAAAGTCATCTAAACGAGTACTCACCAACATGCTACACTAAAATAACTGAATAATTTGAATGAAAAAGATTCTTGTTTCTCCCAACTTGTTGATAATGCTGATTTTTTTTACAGATAGGAAAAGACCTGACACTGACAAAATCCCTATTTTATCTGTCCCCTGAGCACCGCCACTTTAAGTTGTTACATGCTGAAAGCCTTGCTTTGCCTTTGCTGTCAGATCGTAGAAATGAGCAGGTGTTGATGGCCTTTCTCTGCTGTCATCTCTAATTCAGCACCGCTGGAATCTCTTCCAGTAAGAGGCATCAAACGCACCTCCAGCAAATCAAAGACCAGGTTAGACGACGCACAAATCATACTTTATAATGTATGCAGTAACACAAAAGACACAAACACACTTGATTTACAGAGGAGGTAGTGCACATTAATCACTTACTCTTATTCCTGCATTCACTCATTATAAACAAACTGCACTTATTGACTGCAATCATGTTTTGCCTTTATTCGTGCCAATTTATTTTATTTAAAGTAACTCAGACTAAAGGAAAATGTGATTTTTATTTTACTTACAATGTCAGTTAATGACGCAAAAGTACACAATAGAAAGAAACTGGCTTCTGTTTTTTTTACCTTTTCTATAAGATAAGATTTTCTGAGAAATAATTTTTGGAGCCATGTATTTGTCATTTATGTTCACATTTTTAAAAACTCAAACAATTTTTAGATCGTTAAGGTTTGTGCTGCAGAACTCTTTGAAAATGTAAATATGATACTCGTTATAGATTTGGAAAAGAATATTTCTGTGTTAAAGCTGACTCAGATATAAAAGACTTTCTAAATGGCTCAAAACAACAACCACAAATGCAAAAATGCAGAGGTGTGGACTCGAGTCACATGACTTGGACTCGAGTCAGACTCGAGTCATTCATTTTATGACTTTAGACTTGACTTGAAAAAATGTTCTAAGACTTGTGACTTGACTTGGACTTTTACACCAATGACTTGGGACTTGAATTGGACTTGAACCGGTTTACTTGAAAAGACTTGATATTTTACCCCAAATATAAAATTTAACATGCATATTATATAGAGATTGAAAATGTGACGTCATTCACGGGTAGAACCGCAAAGGATTCTGGGAACTCGTGGCAAGCGGTACTAGCGCACGCAGGCTTTCAATTAAAATCAGTTATACAGCGATAAAAAGAAACACAAAAATGTCAAGAAGCCGTTTTATTATTAACTGCAATAGCCGGTCGCATGACAGCCACGGGAAGCCGACGGGTAAAGAGATCGGTTGTTATCGGATTACGTCGTTGAAGAGAAATTGTTCAAGCCATGTTTCCGAAGTAACAAAGACGCGACGGATGGCCTGGATTGCAGCCATTCAAAGATCAAATATAACGTCCCAGAACACTCCAGCTCACAGGTTAGTCTGCTCCAAGCATTTACACGAAGGTCAGTGTTTTTTAGTAGTTAATGCGTCATTTTTCTTAACATAATTGGTGATATAGGTTACAAGCAAGTCTGGCGCTGAACAGAAATTGCCGCGCTATGCTCCTTTATTTATTGTGCATAAATAGTGAATTGTCCTGACACAATATTGCGTTTCGCTTCTGTTATTATGGTACATTGACAAAAACATATACTTTTATTCACAGGATAAAACAGGTTTTTTGTATCACTAATTGTCCAGTACGATTACAGCATACAGTATTATTGTCACTGCTACATTTCTGTGATGGGTACCAGAAATTATTTCCACTACTAATTAATTACCGTTGAGCTCAAAGGTCCTATTAATAAACGGTTAACGAATGTGTATTTATGACGACAATTTGTGAGACTGGTAAACTTATGATACGTACGATGGTCTTTCGTTCTACACGGTGCATTTCAAGGTCCTGCACCCATCCGTCGGTAAACTGTACCTGGGCTTGTTGCAGTGACCTGAAGTTACTAAACTTCATGATCGTATGCGCTCACTCCAAGAACCGTATGATTATAAATATGCATATAAATATGCTAAGATGAGATAGCTGACTTCATCTAACTAGCAAATGTTGTCCAGGCTACGTTGGTGATTCAGTTTTTTTTAATATGTATGATATTTTTGTCATGCGATTTTAAAGCCGGTCCTACAACCGCATCCAAGAATAACATGCAGCGTATCTCAGAACTGTTGGTGAAAATTATTCTTGGAGCTAGGTTTAATTGAGCTGCATTTTAAAGAGGTGCAATTTCACAATTTGTGTATATTTTCTAAGTTCACTATTTTGTCATGTGTTGAGAAAAACACAGATTTTAAAATTACATGGTCTAATATTTACATTTAGCATATAACTGCAACATTATTTTTTCGTTTTTTTTTTTTTAAAGACTCGAAAGGACTTGAAATTCAAAATTTCAGACTTGTGACTTGACTCGGACTTTTACACCAGTGACTTGAGACTCGACTCTGACTTGCCTGACATTACTTGAGACTTGACTTGAGACTTGAGGATAAAGACTTGAGACTTACTTGAGACTTGCAAAACAATGACTTGGTCCCACCTCTGCAAAAATGTATGTACATCCCTCTCATCACAAGTGCAGTTTACCAGCCAAACATGAGGTCAGTCTGAAGGTCAACCACCTTTGGGACTATGACACCTGAGTTGGTTACACTAACTATAAACATAATTAGTATATAAACATCTAACATTCTGTCATTCTATGATAAAACCAGACTGGCTGATGTAGCTAAAGAATCTAGAAATCCTGACTGTCTCTTCCACTGAAATCGTTCAAGATCAGATTATCCAGATTAGTTTTATAATGCATTCTAATCAATGCATGCAAAAAGCTGTCAAGAAACACAGCTCATGCTGATATTTTATTTTGTATTTATTTAACATTAGTGTATTCCTTCTGTTGGCATATAGAGTCATCTGGCCATCCTTGATATTTGCTACGCAATGCACGAACCACATGCGCTCATCATGGCATGTCCACACAGGTATCTCTCTGACGAAAGCCTAACATCCGCAGCTACACAATGACAGGCTGCACCATAAAACATACAATCAGGTGTAATGTGAAGATGATTGGACCTGCCGTAGATGACACCTCTATTAATCTGAATGTTTCCTGCAAGCATCACATTGAATGTGACGGGCGAGCGGTGAAAACGTCACTTTACCTGATCGCCACCCTGTTACGTGTCAAAAGCACGTCCTCCGCAACAAGGTGATTTGAGAAACAGGAAATGTTGGTCTCCACTGACCTGGATCGTGCAGGTGTACTCCGAGTCGTCCAGCAGCCTCACGGTGCAATTGCATTCCCTGTCCAGACTCCTGATGCTGCTGCTCATTAGTCGGCTCAGCATCTTCTCGATCGTCTGCGAACGGGACCACAGAGAGGTGCACACAGCACATACATACAAGTTTATGTTCTGAGGCGTTAACGGCGTCCCTGGTCTTTGCTCCAACACCTGGTCAGCGGCAGCGCGTGTGCAGACAGGCGGCGGTGGTGCATCGTTTTATTAGTGTGTGAGCGCGGACTGAGCGGGGTGCTGCGTTTCTCCAGTCAATGAGAAGTGGGAACACTGCTGTAACTGCTGCTGCTGCTCCTCTCTGGTCCGGTTAAACTGTCACCCCCTCACCACACCTTCTCCCCCCGTCTCCGCCGTTGCCATGCCGCTCTCAATGGTGCTGGGCGGGCTGGTTGATGAATGGCGAATCTGTCAGCCAACAGAGCGGGAACTGATGCTGCCTTCGCAGAGTTAAAAACAGAAGTCGAAATTCCGATAGGCTGCCGCAAGTCGTGACTAAATCCACATGGAATAATAACACAGCTTCACAAGTAAAACAACAGGCAGGTGCTTTGTCCTGTTTTAGAAGTTGCTCAGTTAATTCAAGGTGATAAACGAATAACTAACGCAATAAAAGAAGAAATGCGTCAGCTGAACATTCCCGAAACATACTTACGCTCAACGTCACACCTCACGTGCCAAATTTTCCAGTTAATTTATTATTGTGTGTGTTAAAATGGATATTTCCGACAGAACGTGAAGGCAACAGCATATTTTAGCATTCAATCCGCTTCACCTCCACAGGTTGGTTTCCAGTCTTTAATTATGTAGTCAGAGAGACGCATTGTTTATAGATGACGAAGCTGTTAAACTCAAATGCACTTTGTTTATCAGAAAGTAGAATATTTATGTATCTGTGTTTCTGCCAGGCTATTTTTAAATGACAAGTTATTTTTTGTTTATTATTTCCCTGCTTTTATGCCCGAGTGCGACCCAACATAATTCATTGGCATGCCTTGCTCACGAGCAGCGGAGGACAGGCGGTATTTATTATCCTACAACTGATCAGCTTATTGTACAGAGAAAGATCTCGGCTGGATGAGTTTGGACCAAACAGAAAACTGAAAACTCAAATTTCTTCAACCACGTCTCTCTCTGGGGGTGCTTAATGGTAATTACAATGGAGCAATGGGGGAAACAGGGCCCTAGTCCTTTGTATTGTGACTGGATACGGTTTCCAAAATACTCCCAGTGGTAGGAAACGAGTGAACTACCACGTATTTTAGACCTGTTTCATGTCGTACACATTTACGGCCGGAATTTTAAAAAATAATCACGAAGCCACATATTTTTCTTACATAGTCGAAAAGAAACTCATCTGCCGTGACATTGTTTCACAATGCCGTGACCCGGATTCGAACCGGGGTTGCTGCGGCCACAACGCAGAGTACTAACCACTATACGATCACGGCGAGCTACGATGAGCTGACGGGTTTAGAGAGGCAAAAACGAGGTCTCTTTAGTAAACCCTCCCCGGAACTTTGTCAAAGTGGTGCTATTGTTAGTGATTGAGGTAAGCTTCAGATATATGATTTAAATAAGCAATATACACACATACATTGCACAACTTTTAATAATTATCGGCAGCAAATGGAGTTAGTGTGACATTATAAGAGCATAACTTCGGTTATTGTCTGCCCGACATTACCACCTGGTGGATAAACCGACAAACTGCTACAGCCGCACCACGTGTGGTTTTGCTAAGCCTCCTCGCTCTGGTTGGCTGCCCTTGCTGCAGACGTAACACGTCTTCCTGTTTTGTAACACTCTGAATGTGATTGTTACCAAACACTGATTTTTTCTACAGCAGTTGATCTGAATCGCGCAAAGTTGAAAAGCCCTAAGAAGGTAAAGTTTTTCTTTTTTTGGCTTGAAATGTTTGAATGTTATTATATCCTGTAGTTATCATACCGTTGATTTATTGCATTGCATGTTAGTTGCAGTTTAGAGGTTTCTGCAGGTTCTGCCGCTGAAGTGTAAATTTAAGCGGATGCTCAGAACTTCCAAGGAATCATCATATTGTTTTGTGAAACGTAATGTTGTTTTGTTTGGTTTAAGATTTGTGCTGTATTTACCGTAGTTTTAAAGATCTTAACTCTTAGTCGTTTACATTTCTGAGGTTTCGTGTCTGTGTAAGGATGTGCTCTCCATTAACTGAAATTCATGAGGTGGAGAGGAGGAATGGATGTTAACCTACAGCATCAGTTCTTTTAAAATTTTAGTTTATGTGACGCGTTGACACAAGCTCACTGAAGATCATTAACTTGATGTTTTGGTGCCTTATGTTTGTGATTCACGTGTCCGCAGGTATGGCTCACACGTGTATTCACTGGTTCCGCAAGGGACTCAGGTTGCATGACAACCCAGCTTTGATGGCTGCTCTCAAGGACTGTAAGCAGCTGTACCCTGTGTTCATACTGGACCCTTACCTCCACAACAACGCGTGTGTGGGTATCAACCGCTGGAGGTTCCTCATTGGAGCGCTGAAGGACCTTGACGGAAGCCTCAGGAAGCTCAACTCTAGGTAGAGACACAGTCGACACTCAGCAACATTAAACACTTTTTAAAAAGTCAGACAGCTGCCATCAACCAATATTGTCATGTTATGGTATGTTTAATCTACTTAGGCTGTTTGTTGTGAGAGGGAAGCCAGAAGATGTGCTCCCCAAGTTATTCACCAAGTGGAAAGTAACCAGGCTGACCTATGAGTATGACACAGAGCCCTACAGCCTGCAGCGCGACAGCAAAGTGACGTCACTGGCCAAAGAACGTGGAGTTGAAGTCATCTACAAAGTCTCACACACTCTTTATAATATTGAAAGGTAAAAATCTTGCTGAGCATTTTCAGACAGGGGATTTTTTTTCTGTGCTACTTGTGTTGTCATTTCTTGACTGTGTGTTTGTTTGTTTTTTTGTCTTAATAGAATAATTGAGGAAAATAATGGAAAACCCCCACTTACCTATACCAAGTTGCAAGCAATAGCGAAGACGATTGGTCCCCCTAAGAGACCAATCCCTGCTCCAACCATGGACGATATGAAAGGTATCACAATACCAGAAAAACAGACTAGTGTTACTGAATTGTCAGACAAAGTTATTTGCAATGATGTATGGACATTTATCTAAAAAGCAAATGTCAACATTTAGAAGTGATTAGATTAAATCTATCCCCACTGTCAAAGATGTAAAGACACCATCCTCAGAAAACCACGAGAAGGAATATGGGATTCCTACACTGGAGGAGCTCGGCCTGGACACTGCTCCTCTTGGAGAGGATCTGTTTCCAGGAGGAGAACAGGAGGCTCTCAGGAGACTAGATGAACATATGAAAAGAACGGTAAATTAGATTCACATCTACATCCTGTTATTTGCAGGATTGTAACAACAGACATGCCTACATTCTCTGAAACATTTCTGTGTATGCCTTTCAGAAATGGGTCTGCACCTTTGAGAAGCCACAGACTTCTCCAAACTCTTTGAGCCCCAGTACAACTGTTCTCAGTCCCTATGTCACCTTTGGATGCTTATCAGTCAGAACCTTCTGGTGGAGACTCACAGAGGTGTATAGAGGGGTGAGTGATGCACTTTACATACAGATATTGTAGTTAATAATGGTAAGGAAAATTATGCTGTAGTATTGTTTAATACATTTCAACAGGAAAGAAACTGAATTAATCATTGCCACTTCAAATACTTTCCTTGTGTGATTCCTGTGGTGAGACACTGTACATGCAATGTGCTTGTATTTGTCTTTGACTTGTGTGATTTTTGCAGAATAAACACTCAGATCCTCCAGTTTCTCTGCATGGCCAGTTACTCTGGAGAGAGTTCTTCTACACAGCCAGTTTGGGCATTCCTAGCTTTAACAAGATGGAGGGTAACAGCGTGTGTACTCAGGTGGACTGGGACACAAACACTGATTATCTAGCTGCTTGGAGAGAGGTATTGAGATTGAGTCCTTGAATGAAGTGTCTCTAGAGAAAATTGATGGTGCGAGAAGAGGAGTTTTCATGTTGATGTAATTATGCAATTGTTGTTAAATGTGGAGTAATCTAATTTTCTGTGTCATAGATGATTCATTGTTATTTCACACTCTTCTTAAAGGCTCGGACTGGTTACCCCTTCATTGATGCTATCATGACTCAGCTCAGGCAAGAGGGCTGGATCCACCACCTGGCCAGACATGCTGTTGCTTGTTTCCTTACTAGGGGAGACCTCTGGATCAGCTGGGAAGAAGGGCAGAAGGTCAGCTCGCAAAGGCTGCAGCTGCTAATATCACAAATATTACAATACTACTGCTACTAATAGTAATTATTATTAGCTATACACAACACTTGTGTTTTTTTTTTCTATCATGAGTCCAGCAGTACATATGCTAAATCAGTATGGTACCTGTAACATTTTCTCACTGCTCATGAAGGTGTTTGAGCAGCTTTTATTAGATGGCGACTGGGCTTTGAATGCTGGAAATTGGCAGTGGCTATCAGCGAGCACCTTCTTCCACCAGTATTTTAGGGTTTACTCTCCAGTGGCCTTCGGGAAGAAGACAGACAAAAATGGAGACTACATCAGGTAAGATCTATCAGCCAAACGTATTACCTAAACAATTCACATTCATTACATGTATCGTTTATAATGATTTAGCATTTCTCCTATGTTTACAGGAAGTACCTCCCTCTTCTGAAGAAGTTCCCAGCAGAATATATCTATGAACCTTGGAAAGCTCCACGCAGTATCCAGCAGGCAGCAGGATGTATTGTGGGTAAAGACTACCCACATCCCATTGTACAGCACGAAGTGATCAGCAAGAAAAATATTCAGAGGATGAAACTTGCTTATGCCAAGAGATCCCCAGAGTCACCTAGCAAAAGCAAAGGTACTGCAAGAAACATACAGGAGCATTATGTCCTTTTATATTAGTCATGCTTCAACTAAATTCTGTTTCTTCTTTTGTTTTTATTTCTTTGTTTTGCTCCAAGGTGTAAAGCGGAAGGCTCCATCCATTGAAATTATCAAGAAGAAAGCAAAAGTAAAGTAATTAGAAATCATGTTCACGTTTTGGTATCTTTCCAGTACTTTAGTTTTATCTCAGTCCACAGTTTTCTATATTGTGTTTTTATTGGGATTTTCATTGGTTATTTTTTTATATCATTATTATTGTTACTTTTTATGTTGTATTTATGTCAGTGTTTAAAAGTCCCTCTTGGATTTAAAAAAGGTCAGGTGAGAGACTGCACAGAGATTAGGTCATGTTTTCTAAAGGTTAATAACCTTGTGTCAAATTGTTATTATGTTACATAGGGAAAAAAATAAGCAGGTCTGAATGTCTCCATGTTAGAAGGGTGTAAAAATAGACTTAAGTTAAAAAACAAAATTAATGCAGACAGTAAATATGGTAGATATGCATTAACTTTAATGGTTCGGTCAGTTCGCCCACCATACAATTCAAGGAGCACATCAGAAAATAGTACATTAATTATAGACAATGAAAGAATGGTTCTAAAAAAATAGAAAATCAAGAAAAGTGGAAAATTTAAAGTTTTAAATCTTGGATAAGATAATCCAACATCTCAGTTTGATTGACATCAGACATCAATTGTATTGTGTCAGTTTGTTGACATTTGCAAACAAACTGACACAATTTACACATGATTTGTTTATGAGTCAGATTGTATCACTGTCAAATAAGATTCTTGTTATATTAATAATAAGCATACACTTCTGTCTTCTATCTGCTGCCATTAAAATAAAAAAATCTTACACTTAGAACTTGGACGTGACTACACAGAGGATTGTGTCCAATCGTACAGCTGTCTCATATACTCAAAACTAAGACAACTGTTTAGGTGAAATGATCTTTTCAGCTCATTTTATCAGCTTGCAAAGTTTTATGTCATTTCCATATCATTCAAAATTGTTGCTCTTTAATAAAATGTCAAAATGGAAAATTAATATTGTGTCTTAACTAATAAAATGTGTGGGTCCTAAAACTGCTAGGTCTATGTACTGTTATTCCCACTAGATGGCGCTGCAATACCTGAAGAAAAACTCAACTCAAGTACATGTATACAGAGAATATTCCCCCAAGTATATTCTTAAAAGTTATTTAAAGATTTAATCTGTTATGTGTTTTGGAACATTTGTAATGGAGTTAATTTAACTGTCATAAAAATGAGAAATAAATAAATAAATTTTTAGAGTATCTGTGGTCAGCACAGAACATCTGACCTTTTATATGTTAACTCTTTGCAGAAAAGAAACAGAAAGTAGAAGTGATCTGTTAATATTTTTGGTGAATAATATTGAATCTCAATTAATCTCAATGAATATTAAAAATAAAAACAATCAAATTTAATTTTATTTAATTTGATTCTAGCTACAATGTCATTTGTCTGCTTTCTATAAGGAATTCATTTTTCCAGCTTCCTCATTCCTAAAACTTTGCTTTCCTTTTTTTTTCTAAATGTAGCAATGAGCATCAGTTTTTTTTTTTATCAGGATTATGCTTGAGATGCAGTATTACATAAGGCCTGTTAATCAATTACTAATTGTGTCAGTGCACAATTGGTGAAAGTCAGTATGAACAGGGCTGTGCGACATAAAGGCAAAGATGTAAGTGAGTGTGTTTGGGGCACACAGCTGTTCTTGGAGCTCAAGTCTTCTCCTGTTTCTGCTTCCTTGGAGTTGACACTGGTGTGAATAACCAGAGGATGATGTCACAGGCTCAGTAGCAGGCCAGGCGGCCATACAAAGCCAAGCTCAGTTTCCACAGAGACCTGTCAAACATCAAAACAATCTGTTCTCTGACTGTGCATTAATGTACAAGGGTGTTTTGGGGTACACTTGGCATTGGGTCACTCTTCCGGTAAACTTTCATAGCAGAGCTCAGCAAGCCTGGGTGAACCGAAATCACCTATTCAACAATGTACCTGCATGCATTCCAACATTTTCTGATATTATGAAAATGTTTAGCCTTAATCCCAAAAAGAATAATTAATTTTCAATCAAAATTCCAAGAATAGCTGGCTCCTCCTGTTTGTCCGTGGGTGTACCCCTCTCCCCATGGGTCCACGTCGTCACCTCACCACTCAAACCATCTTGGATCTGGGAACTGTAACATCCCAGCTGAATTAGAACAGTGTGTTCCCATGCAGCTGGTGTTTCATGTAGCTGAAATAGTAGTGATTTATCTCAGGAGGCTGCTCCACAGGCAGCAACATGAAAGAGTTAATCCCCACTTTATGCAACAAATTTTTATGGCCATAATAATAGGACAGGGGCTCTCCAAGGTTCAAAAACGGTTCTTCTTTAGGTTACATGACAAAATAATATGAGTTCAATCTAACACTTGATTAGCAAAGCTCTCAATACAAGCTACTGCACGGTGGGTCAAGTGGGTCAGTGTAAGTTTACATCACCATTTTATGAGGATTACCACAACACCAGTGAACATGCCCGTCTGTTTATAGGCTTCAAAGCAGACAAATAACAGACATACATTTCTGTTGATCAATACAAAGGTACCAATATGGTTTTACATGACAAACTGCAGACCATCTATTCATAAACAAATGTTATAACTCTTAAATTGCAAAAAAAGTACATAAACAGTCATAACTATTTGTTAAAGACCAAAGGGTAACGTTCTTTGGTGGCCAAGTAAGACTAAGCTGAGGAAGAATAGTGAAGCTAATTTTTTTTTTTTTAAAGAAAAATCTAATTATCTCTTTTGTTGTACCAATGACATTATAATTGGAGAAACATTGAAGGACAAGAGGAAGCTGCGAGTAAAAGGTTCATGAACACGTGCTGAAAGGTCACTATTTATTAGAAGTCCATAGAGGTGGTAAATAAATGCCACAGTGAAACTGAAGAGCTGATGGGTGTCCAATCTGCTTCAGTTTTTTTGCTCTATGTTTGTCACCATCGGGGACACACACGCACACACCCCTCTGTACACATCCTGAATGACAATGGTCCTGTTGTCGTGGGATGTCCATTACCACACAGGTTCTAATGACTGATTATAACAATTTACATTTGCCCCACAGGACCCCCCTTTTATTTTCTGATAGAAGCACAATTATCTTTGCAAAAGAGATAATGGTATAAACAAAGCCAGAGGTAGTGATCTCAGAGAGCATCATTAGTAGCCCCCCTATAAATCTGCACCACTAAGCCACTACAGGATTTTGTGTAGAGCTATAAATGGCAAAACATGCGGCAATAGACATGCAATGCTAAAATTATGCACTCCACTACAGACCTCACGTGCACTGAGATTTGGAGAGAGATTAAGACCTTAACATGGGACAGGGCATAACATTCCTGGGATGTTCCAAATAGTAAGGAAAACAAACTTCTGAGAAAACCTTGGAATGGTTATTGATGTTTTAGCTGGTATCTAACCAGGTCTTTATTTTTTATATGGATGGTAATTTTGCAGGCAGATAAACTGGTGTACTTAAGATTTTTCTCCACTTGACCAGAAGCATAAATATATGTTTCTTTTTTTTATTTCCAGTTATTATATATTGGAAATTCCTCTTCCATCAGCAGGTTTCCTACATGCTTAAGGGGATACATGTTCAAACACAGTCACATGACAGAGTCTTCTGGTTTCTGTTCTGTTTCACCGCCCTGATGTGCTTTCATCACTCTGTATACACCCCACTGGAGAATATCCACAACACGCAACTGTGTTTTCCAGCCTCTCTACAGCTGACTGACGTACAGCCAAATACAAGATCCTGCAGCCTATACATGTCAGTCACCAGTGTGTGTGTGTGCGTGGTATGCTATAACTAATGGAATCCATAATGAATTGCCCAACTGTGTGTTCAATTTCCATTGCTTCCAAGAGTCTTAACATATTCCATTTAAAAATGTTCTTTTAAAATTAAATTCTTAATTTAATCTAGGTTGTTAAATCAAATCACTGCGTCACGGCCCTGGCAGGGAGCTACAAAAGAATATGACGAATGGATGGAACAGAAAAATGTAAATAGATGTAAGGAAGTCATGCAGGCATGTGTAATATGATGAGCATACGTAGTAACCCGAGAGATAATGCAGTTTGATACCTTTGAACTTGGACGAACACACTCGGGAAGCTGTAACTCATTGTAGTAGTATCAGTGCCAGTCAGTTCAAAGACAAGTTTGGGGGTTTGGAGTGTGTTTATCATGGAAGAAGTCTATATAGGTGACAAATAAAACATTTGTTAATGTCACTTATGCATCCAGTTATCAGCCTTGCAAGTTAATTTAATTTCTGCTTAATATTGAGATTGTCCCAGCATTTTGTTTTCAGACTGAGCCAAGTATTTGAATCAGTCTTGAATCCCTGGAGAATAAAACCACATTAGTCTGACTAAATAAATAAAAATTAAATGAACTTGTTCATAAATGCTCGCTCTCTCTCTCTCTCTCTTGCTCCCTCTCTCTCTCTGTTTGTGTGTGTGCAGCAAAGTGTGTGTAGATGTGTCTGTGAATCCTTGTATGAAGATTAGAGCCCATATCTCTTTGGGAGTCAGTGGGATCTGCCTATATAAGGCTGTTCTATTCCTACTGCTTTTCCTCTGGGGACACAATGCAATTGTCAGCCACTGAACAATACATGTCTGAGAACTTAGCAAACTTCACTGTCTTGAATAAACATATATATATAAATGGTTTTACAAGAGGTGATTCTGGGAAATACTGGGCTAAATGCTGTTGCATGATGACTTCAAGCTGTTTTTGCTATGTTCTACTTATACTCGAGAGTTTCCTAACGCCACACTTTTTAAATAGGAAACTACGTGACCGTAAGAATGTGCTGCTCATGTTAATGCACTCAAAACTAAAGGCGTCATCCTTTTGACTGACAGGCTCAAATGATTCTTTACCACAGCCTGTAAACACAGCTAAAAAGTTGGACAGAGGATACCCAAAGAGAAAATCTTTTTTGTCTTTGCGAAACTGTAATTCACTAATAACAGAATGAGAAAAAAAGACTTAACCATGTTTCTTTAAATTCTTTTCCTGGTATCTGGTGAACTAACAGATCTGGACATGGAAAATGTTTTGTTTTATTTTTCTTTTGTTTTTGTTTTTAAAGCAGCATCTTGATTTTTTTTACATTTATTTCTCTACTTAAGATATATATTTGGTGAATCCATTAGAGTTTTTTTCCCCCCTCTTTATAAAACAGCTATAAAGATGAGTTTTGGAAAGTGTGATGTGCTCTTGTGCCTATTTGCAGGCCAACTATAAATAGTCCAGGAACCTACGCATGCTCATGTTTGATTGGAAATTGCAGTGCCTTAAGCCATTGCTGTGGGGTGTCTGTCAAAGGAAGGAATGAAACTTGTGTATGGTGAGTTAACTGTGTAAAATAGACTGCTGAATGTTGTTTATGTAGCTACTGGATAAGCACATGCAGAAGATGTAAAGTATATCTTAACCTAGCATCTCTTGTGCTGAATAATTGTGTTTTTAATATACAACATTTGTTTTTAATGTTTTACAACTTTATTGTTTTAAAGTTTAAACTCTTCTCTTGGCAACAAAACAATATCTGGTGGAAAATGACTTCATGGAGGACAACAAGACGCTCGTCTAATGGGAATGGGCGGTCTTCCAATGGAGAAGATGTCAATGGAAGTGGCCGCCTTGGTGGCTGCAGCTACCTCTCTAATGTGAGGCCAGAAAACAGGTACAGAATCCAGACTAACTCAGGGTGCTGTCCTTCCACTTGAACCATCTCTGCTGGGAACATGCAGTATGTATGATCCCAGCATGTATTTATTCTATAATATATCTATAATTCAGGGTTTTACCTAACCTGGGATGAGCATGTGTTGCATGGTGTTTTTTTGTTTGTTGTTGCCATGGACGGCAGAGTTTAAATAAACTGCTTATTAAGAGCACAATCTCAGCTATGCACCATTGGCCCCTTTTCACATCAAGGATACACGACAGCGTCTGCATGGGAAGATTTGTTTATA